GGCCAGCCTGGGTGAGGGGCTGATGGCTGTTTTCAGGCTGGCCACGCCCCCCACCAACCCAAGCTCCCGGCCTCTCCTTTTTCTTTTCTTTTTTTTTTTTTTCCGGTGCCTCCTTGAGCAGAGGCCAGTGGGCTGGAAGCAGGTACCTTGGATTTATTTATCTTCTATAATTGAAACTTTGTAGCCTTGAGCAGAGCCCAGGGCTAGCCAGGGCAGGTGGGATGCTTGGCTTCCTCCATTGCCGGGGGCAACCCAAACCTGCTCACTCCAGCTCCGTGGCCGCCACCATCTTAGTTGGGTTAATTTGCATACTCGCTCCTGATTGGCTGGTGGTCGTAGCATAGTGATGGAGTGATGGTTAATTTGCATCTTTCTCTTTTATTAGTGTAGATAATCCATGTCTAACTGGACCTGTGCAATTCAAACCCATGATCAGGGGTCAAATCTACTTCATTTATTAATGGTGTTGTTACTGGTTGATCCCAAATAATTCTAAGACAGACTGGTGTAATGAATTTCAAGCCTGTTTATGATTAAAATACTAACTGTTCTTCAATTCAGGCTTTGTAAGTCTGCGCGCGCACACACACACACACACACACACACACACACATATATATATCACTGTTATGTAACACGGTTAGTATTTAGACCAGTAGCTTCTCTAATCCACTTAAACCTGCAGAGTTTTCTCATACTGACTCCTGTTCTAGCCTGTGGACTGATTGGGTCTTTGGCTATCTGAAGGCACAGGGACTGAGAACTGTTCTTGAAGTCTTGCACTTTTCTAATAGTGTCTGAACGAGTTTTCTGACTTATCATTTGATGTTTTGAATCACAGAGAAACTTGGGTAATTGAAGGGAATACTTCAGTAGATGTAGGGTTTTTATGTTGTCCTTATTATCAAGGAATGAAATGAAAATGAATTTTTTAAGTGATCTTCCTTTTAGGAGGGGTGCCCTAAGTTTCTACAAGGCCTTTTGGTAGCAAGTATTTATTTTTAATTTTAAAAAAATTTTCAATTGCAGTTTACATTCAATTTTATTTTGTATTAGTTTCAGGTGTACAGTACAGTGGTTAGACAATCATATACTTTATAAAGTGGTCCCCTGATATTTCCAGTACCCAATTGGCACCATACATAGTTATTACAATGTTGTTGACTATATTTCCTATGCTGTAATTTACAACCCCATATTTTATACCCACTAATCTGTACTTCTCAATCCCTTCACCTTGTTAACCCAGTCCTCCAACCCTCCTTCTCTCTGGCAACCATTAGTCTGTTTTCTGTATCTATTTATGTTTGTTTCTGTATTGTTTCTGTTTTGTTTGTTCCTTTATTTTGTTCATTAGATTCCACATATAAGTGAAGTTATATGGTATTTGTCTTTCTCTGACTGGCTTATTTCACTTAGCATAATACCCTGTGGGCCCATCCATGCTGTCACAACTGGTAAGATTTCATTCTTTTTTATGCCGAGTAATATTCTTTGGTAAATATGTACCACAACTCATGTATTGATGGGCACTTGGGTTGCTTCCATAGCTTGGCTATTGTAAATAGTGCTGCAGCCCTAACTGGTTTGGCTCAGTGGATAGAGCGTTGGCCTGCAGACTGAAGGGACCCAGGTTCGAGTCCAGTCAAGGGCACATGCCCAGGCTGCGGGCTCGATCCCCAGTAGGGGGCATGCAGAAGGCAGCTAATCAATGATTCTCTCTTATCATTGATGTTTCTATCCCTCTCACTTCCTCTCTGAAATCAATAAAAACATATTTTAAAAAATAATGCTGCAATGAATATAGGGATCACATTCTTTTGAATTGTTTTTGATTTTCAGATATTTACCCAGAAGTGGAATTGCTATGTCATAAGACAGTTCTATTTTAACTTTTTTAGGAAACTCCATACAGTTTTCCATAGTGGCTGCACCAAATTGCATTCCCACCAGCAGTGCATGAGGGTTCCCTTTTCTCCACATCCTCGTCAGCACTTGTTTGTTGATTCTGACAGGTGTGAGGTGATATCATTTAAAAATGGGCAAAGGACCTAAATAGACACTTCTCCAAAGAGGACATACCGAGGCCAAGAGACAAGAAAAGACTCTCCATGTCACTAATCATCAGAGATGCAAATTAAAACCATAATGAGTTGGCAGGTTGTTTCAATGGATGGGTAAGAGGGTGGCCCACTTTGTTTCTCACCTGCCTGAGAATGTCTGGGACAGAGAGAGGAGATATTTTTTCTGCTCCTACCTAACCTGATGTTACTCTCTTTCTGCACATACGCCACTTAATTTTATACTGTGTAACACATGGGGAAAATAAAATAAGAAACCAAGCCCATTCCATAAAGTAATAATTAAACCCAACCCCCTACCAGTTTCTGAAATGCCTACTCTGTTCTTCCAAAGATGTCATAAGTTTACTGATTTTTTTTTCCACCCAAAAGAAGGGGCCACGGAGAGGAAAGTGTAGAGCAGTGTGATGTAAGTGTTTTAAGTTCTGTTTCACTTAAATTCATTCTGTTCACGTTGATTGCAGATCTGCAGGGGAAAGCTTTGAGAATTAAGGACAAGTAAATTCAATTGCAGAAGCTTATGAGTAGCTAGATTCATTTTTAAAAAATGTCAGCAAGTAAATATTTTAAACTTTCACTGACCTTATTAAAATATACTCCTAGAAATATTCTTTTTGAGCCATTCTCATAAATTAGTCATCATCTTGCAAACAATTTGATATAATAAAAAGAGCAGTGGTTTAGAAAGTAGGAGATTGGGAGGTCATTCCCAGGGAGATTAAATGACAATGCTAACATCCACTGGGTGAGGAAGCTGTGCACTGGGTGAGGAAGCTGTGCGTGAGAGGGTTGAATCTGATGATCTATCTTTAAAACACTTCAATGAGTCTGTGCTTGAATTCAGAAACCACATTCAGAACTTGCCAGGAAAGCTTGGATGGGAGTAGAAGCTTCGCCTTGTGCAGCATCGCAGTGTTACTTGTTCTAGAATACCATTCCCGCCTGGCTCCTGGAGGGCAAATGGTGTAGGAGTCAGGATTCTGCTGTAATAATAGATCATTGTCTGGTTAGTCGAGCAGGAAGGTATTAAATGGCTTGCAGGATTGTTGGGAGGCTGACGACAGATTCTAGCGGAGCTTCCAGGGACAACTCCCCAAAGTCACAGCGCAGGACGGAGCGACCAGGGCACTGCTACCTCACTGTGAATGGGAGCTTTAGCCCGGGGATCCCTACCGCTGGGAGCCTGAGCGTGGGGAGCCTGAGCATGGGGAGCCTGCCTGGCAGGCAGCTCGCCTCTGCTGCAGCCTGCCTCAGCCCGAGGACCCCATCCCTCTTCCCCAGCGCTGTCCACTCCAGGCCAGGCCACATCTTGCTGACTGGTGGACCCTAAATCACATCTGAAATCCTAGTTGCAGGGAGTCCTGAGGTGTCACCTTCCCAACCTTTGTGGGCCAGGACAAGCCAATTTACTGTCGTCACAAGCCAATTTACTGTCGTCACCATGGACAGTAAACTAAGTATTTATGATGAATAATATTTGTGTATTTTTTTTTACAGTTTACAGAATAGACTCACATTTTTTTTATTTCTACATCTTAAAATACTATTTCTGGCCATTCCCAAGAAAACATCGTTGATAAAAATTGAGAGCAGCACCTACCTTATTTCCAAAGACACAAATGGTGCAGAACAAGATTTCAAATGTGGGCTCTCCTTCCAGATCTGTGTATCTCCTCCACATCCGTTCTGTTCTCTTCCGCGTCTTTCCCCACGAACACCCTCCACCTTTGCGACTGACTTGCTCTTTGCCGTGCAGACCTGTGCGTGCGGAGTCGGAGCCCGAGGCTGATGCCCCCGGCCGCTGGCCCGGCGTCTTTGTCAGCAGAGCCTCCACAGCGCCTTTGGAGCCCGCGACCACCGTGAAGTCCCTTATCAAGTCCTTTGACTTGGGACACCCAGGTATTTAATCGTTTTGTTTTATAAGCAAAACTCAATTCAGACCAAGGCCCCAAATATCAAGCCTGTCTCTACTCCACACTGACCCCAAATTGGCACAACCACAAGGGTTCTTCTAGATCAGCAGTTCTCAACCTGTGGGTCGCGAACCCTTTGGCGGTCGAATGACCCTTTCACAGGGGTCGCCTAAGACCATCCTGCATATCAGATATTTACATTACGATTCATAACAGTAGCAACATTACAGTTATGAAGTAGCAACAAAAATAATTTTATGGTTGGGTCACAACATGAGGAACTGTATTTAAAGGGCCAGAAGGTTGAGAACCACTGTTCTAGATCGTTCCACAGGAAGCCTCTGTACAGGAAAGACATGCTGCAGCTGCAGTGAGCTGGCCATGGGCAGTCTCCCTCCCCACCTCCTTGCCTGCTCCTGCCTCCTCACCTTCCTTTTCCGCTCTGTCCATAAAAATCAGGTCACTGTTGTTTTATTTGCCTTCTGTGGTCTGCGGTCGGCCAGAGCCTTCACCTCCTAGGAAGTGAGGTCTTGCCTCCTGGGGGTCGGCGCGCTGGTTGATACCCTGGCCCGCCTCATCCTGCAACATGCAGTTGGACTTTTCTGCACCTGGTCTTGTCTTACGTAGGACCCCCATGGGATCTGTCATTCCTGATTTTGTACAGCCCACCTCTTTCTGGAAATGTCACCTTTATCCACTGTTACCCACATATAAGAAAAAATGTATATCTATACTCTCTATACACATAAATATAAAAATAACAATGTATTTCTTCACTCAAGAAATATGCTTATGGTATTGGGAGACTGGAGTAATAGCTGATCTTAGGATGTTCTTGGTTATTTCTGTTAAAATAGTTTGCAGCTAAGTTAGACTACAGATTAGACAGCTAAGTTAGACTAAGTTAGACTGTAGATTAGACTACAGATGTTGAAAGATAGGAAATCCCCGTGACTACATTCAGTCTATGAAGATGGGAAATGAATTAAAGGTGGTTTATGCAAGAATTTTCCTGTTCCTTATTGCATTGGGTCCTCATGTGTCCTGTGTCTAAGAGCAACACAACTTAGTTCATTGCTCCCCTCTCACTGTCCAATTCAACACTCATCCACAGAGGAAAAGGAGAAAAGAGTAGACATAATACTTTATAAACAGCATGGCATACATTTTTAATCGCCAAAAAAGTAACAAGTCAGGAACTATTATTTTTGATTTTGAACTCACCAACATATAAACGTTTCCATCTCTTGCAGGTGGAGCTGGACAGAATGTTTCTGTCCATAAGCCCCCGAGAAGCCCCTTGAGCGGAATACCAGTGAGGACGGCCCCGGCGGCCGCTGTTTCTCCAATGCAGGTATAGAAGAGGATTGCGTGTGGGTGGTGGTCTGTGTCAGCGTGTGATAACCGTGTCTTCCACATGAGCAACAAAAGGGAGTAAAAACCAATTGGTTTATTTTTTGAGGCAGGTTAAACATTTTTAATAAACCTAAAGTAGTAATAGTTTAACTTTCTTTTTTAAATATATTTTTTTGGATTTCAAAGAGGAAGGAAGAGGGAGAGAGAGATAGAAACATCAATGATGAGAGAGAATCATTTATCGGCTGCCTCCTGTACGCCCACACTGGGGATCAAGCCCGCAACCTAGGCATGTGCCCAACCCAGAATCGAACCATGATCTTCTGGTTCATAGGTCGATGCTCAACCACTGAGCTATGCCGGCCGGGCAATACTAGTTTAATTTTAATTAAAATTTACACTTTTAATGCCTAATAAAGGTCCAAGAGAGACACTATAAACTTCATACAATTTTGGTAACTTCTTTTTTCCCATAAGATGACACTTGAAGTTTTCAATTAAATGAAGATTGTAATTTTTACTAGAAATGAACATTGAACTAGATGTTTTTCTCAAAGAATTGTTTTTTCTAAAATGCCCTCCGAGGGAATGTTTACAATTTATAAATTCTAAGGAGCTCACTAGATGCAACCTGCCATCTATGCTGTTTTCTGATGGATTCAGACCAAAGCTTCTTGGCATTTTCTAAGACCAGGGTTTTTCTTTTATATATGTTTGTTTGTTCGTTTATTTATTTATTTATTTATTTTTAAAAAACACTTTTTAAAAAATAGTTATTGTTGAAAGTATTACATATGTCCCCCATTTCCCCCCATTGACCCCTGACCCCTCCGGCCCACCCCACTCCCTGCCCCAGGCCTTCAGCACCCTATTGTCTGTGTCCATGGGCCATGCATATGTGCACACAAGGTCTTTAGTTGGTTACCTCCCACCACTCACCCTCCCCCCGCCTTCCCTCCGAGATTCCGCACTCTGTTCCATGCTTCCATGTCTCCGGATCCACCCCGTTCATTAGTTTATTTTGTTACTTAGATTCCACATGAGTGAGATCATGTGATACTTGTCTTTCTATGACTGGCTTATTTCACTTAGCATGATACTCTCCAGGTCCCTCCATGCTGTCTCAAAGGGTAAGAGATCCTTCTTTTTTACTGCTGCATAGTATCCCATGGTGTAAATGTACCACAGCCTTTTTATCCACTCATCTACTGATGGGCACTTGGGCTGTTTCCAGACTTAGCTATTGTAAATTGCGCTGCTATGAACATAAGGGTGCATACATTCTTTCTGATTGTGTTTTGGTTTCTTAGGATATATTCACAGAAGTGGGATCACTGGGTCAAATGTCAGTTCCATATTTAATTTTTTGAGGAAACTCCATACTGTTTTCCACAGTGGCTGCACCAGTCTGCATTCCCACCAGCAGTGCACTAGGGTTCCCTTTTCTCCACATCCTCACCAGCACTTGTCATTTGATTTGTTGATGGTAGCCATTCTGACAGGCATGAGGTGATACCTCATTGTTATTTTAATTTGCATCTCGCTGATGATCAGTGACTTTGAGCATTTTTCCATATGTCTCTTGGCCATCTGTATGTCCTCTTTGGAGAAGTGTCTATTTAGGACCTTTGCCCATTTTTCAATTGGATTGTTTGTTATTCCTTTTGTTAAGTTGTATGAGTTCCTTATATATTTTGGATATTAACCCTTTATCAGATGTATCATTGCCAAATATTTCCTCCCATACAGTGGGCTCCCTTTTCATTTTTATGGTTTCTTTTGCTGTGCAGAAGCTTCTTATTTTGATGTAGTCCCATTTGTTTGTTTTATCCCTAGTTTCCTTTGCCCTAGGAGATGAATCTGTAAACATATTGCTATGAGAGGTGTCTGAGATTTTGCTGCCTATGGTTTCTTCTGGGATTTTTATGGTTCCCTGACTTACATTCAAGTCTTTTATCCATTTTGAGTTTATTCTTGTGTGTGTTGCTGGTCTAGTTACATTTATTTTTTGCCTTGTATCTGTCCAATTTTCTCAACACCATTTATTGAACAGACTGTATTGACTCCACTGTATGCTCTTGCCTCCTTTGTCAAATATTAACTGGGGTCTCTGTTCTGTTCCATTCATCTATATGCCTGTTCTTGTGCCAGTACCAGCCTGTTTTGAGTACAGTGGCTTTGTAGTATAATTTGAAATCTGGTATTGTGATTCCTCCATCTTTGTTTTTCTTCTTCTTCAAAATTGCTGCAGCTATTTGGGGTCTTTTTTTGATTCCATATAAGTTCCTGGAGTATTTGTTCTAGCACTGTGAAATATGCTGTTGGTATTTTAATAGGGATTGCATTGAATCTGTAGATTGTCTTGGGTAGTATGGACATTTTAATGATGTTAATTATACCAGTCCATGAACATGGAATACTCTTCCACTTGTTTACATCTTCTTCTATCTCTATTTTCAATGTCCTGTAGTTTTCCAACTACAAGTCTTTTACCTCCTTGGTTAAGTTTATTTCTAAGTATCTTACTTTTTTTGTGGCATGGTAAATGGGATTTTTTGTTTTGTTTTGTTTGTTTCTCTTTCTGAGAATTCATTATCGGTATATAAAAAAAGACACCTATTTGTGGATGTTGATTTTATATTCTGCTTCATTGCTGAATTCCTTTATTAACTCTAGTAGTTTTTGGTAGAGTCTTTAGGATTTTTTATATAAATATCATGTCATCTGGGAATAATGAGAGTTTTACTTCCTCCTTTCCAATTTGGATGCCTTTTATTTCTTCTTCTTCTTGTCTGATTGCTGTGGCTGGGACTTCCAGTACTATGTTGAATAAGAGTTGTGGAAGCAGACATCCCTGTCTTGTTCCTGTTCTTAGGGGAAATAGTTTTAGTTTTTGCCCACTGAGTATGATGTTGGCTGTAGGTTTGTCATATAGGCCTTTATCATGTTGAGATATGCTCCCTCTTTTCCCATTTTGCTGAGAGTTTTTATCAAAAATGGGTGTTAGAATTTGTCGAATGCTTTATCTGCATCTACTTGTTATGATCATGTGATTTTTGACTTTCAATTTGTTTATGTGATGCGTCGCATTTGTTGATTTGCATTGTTTATTGAATATTGTACCAGACTCGTATCCCTGGAATAAATCCCAGTTGGTCATGGTGTATGATCTTTTCAGTATATTGCTGGATCTGATTTACTAATATTTTGTTGAGGATTTTAGCATCTGTGTTCATCAGGGATATTGGCCTGTAATTCTTTCTTTGTAGTGTCTTTATCTGGTTTTGGAATGAGGATAATGCTGGCCTCATTAAAGAAGCTTGGAAGTGTTCCTTCCTTTTTAAGACCAGGGCTTTTGATGTGATAAATAACATGCAGCACTCTGCTTCTCCTGCACTAAGATCGATGCTGTCATTAACAGGTACCCTTTCCTGGTGTCAGAATTTTAAAAAGATTCCCAGGTGATTCTAATGTGCAGCCAAGGTTGAGAACCACTGTTGTTTTTATATCATATTTTTGTTGTTTTCATATCATGTTTTTGTCGTTTTTATATCATGCCTCTGTTATTGTTATATCCTTTTGTTACTGTTTATTTATTAATAAATTTATATATTATTTTCATATACATTTTACTAATTTCCTTTCATCTCTCACACTTCTATTATAGAGAAAGGGCAAATAGCAATATTAAAATATCTCCGCTAATTAATTCCCTTTTTAAAAAAAAATATTTTATTGATTTTTTTACAGAGAGGAAGGGAGAGGGATAGAGAGTTAGAAACATCGATGAGAGAGAAACATCGATCAGCTGCCTCCTGCACACTCCCCACTGGAGATGTGCCCGCAACCAAGGTACATGCCCTTGACCGGAATCGAACCTGGGACCCTTGAGTCTGCAGGCCGATGCTCTATCCACTGAGCCAAACCAGTTAGGGCAATTAATTCCCTTTTAATGTGCACGAATTTTGTGCACCGGGCTACTAATCTTTTCATATATCTGTTAGCCATTAAGAAACAGTGTTTTTACACATATCCTTGAATATGCATAGAATATTCCAGGAAGATATTCACAAAGCTGATTAATAATATTTACACGTGCCCAGTCAGTGTGGCTCAGTGTTTGAGCATTGACCCATGAATCAAGAAGTCACGGTTGGATTCCTGGTCAGGGCACATGCCTGGGTTGCGGGCTCGATCCCTAGTGTGGGGTGTGCAGGAGTCAGCCAATCAGTGATTCTCATCATTGATATTTCCCTCACTCCATCTTCTTTCCTCTCTCTAAAATCAATAAAAAACTTTTTAAAAAATTAAATAAAATAATGATTACCCCCAGGGAGAGGAACGGGAAAGGCAGACTTCCCTTTAGCTACGTGTCTTCTCTGGACCTTTTGAGGATCATGCCAAGTGCATTTATTGTCTTTCACACTAATACGTTGTTGTAAAAGCTCCTCTGGTGACTCTGATGAGCTTGAGAACCGTGTACATACATGTGCGCACACACCTGGCCTGAGCTGGTCCTGATGTCACAAGTTCACCTGTGCTGCTGTGCCCTTTGGTTTTGTAGAGGCACTCAACCTACAGCGGCGTTCGCACAGCCAGCAAAGGAGTGGCCCAGCGCTTGGACCTTCCCGACCTTCCCCTCTCAGGTAAATCGTCTTCAACGTGATCACTTACTTTTTTGTGGGGTTCCCTTTTCTTAGCATGAACCAAGCTTAGAAAAATAGTCCATGGCGTTTATTCCAGATGATTTCAAGCTCTCAGTGTGTGTGATGAGGGGTGAGAGCCTGCTTCCTGTGCGGTGCCCTTCTCCCTGTCAGGGCTCCGGAGCAGCGTCCGGCTGTGGGAGCTGTGTGTGTGTGTGTGTGTGTGTGTGTGTGTGTGTGTGTGTGTGTTTTATACTGAATCTCAGGAAAATAAAAAAAGTATTTTAAGAAAAAACTTAGATCTGATTCTGACAGTCTATTGCTTCCATAATTTCTAAAATATGACTTTTGAGATATTTTTGTCTTTGTTGAAAGTCACATCTTGACAAGGAAGTGCTGGTTGTAGCTGTAGTTCTCAGTGTCACATGTTCACTCCTGCTATGCCTCCCCCGCTGAAAGCCACGCAGAGTTACGGGGCACACGCTTACGGGGAACACGGTTATGGGGCACTCGGTACAGGGCATTCAGTTATGGGGCACTCGGTTACGGGGAACACGGTTACGGGGCACTCGGTTACGGGGCACACGGTTATGGGGCACTCGGTTATGGGGCACTCAATTACGGGGCACACGGTTACAGGGCACACGCTTATGAGGCACTCGGTTACAGGGGACCCAGGAGTGGGACTGCTGGGTTTGAGCCTGGCACTGCCACCTGCAGCCTGGCTGTGGCCATGTTATGCCACCTCTGTGCTGTGCTCCCTCCTCTCCAAAGTGCAGAGAATGCTGTCTGCCCAGTAGACGGCTGCAAGGGTTGAGTGGACTTGGCCCCGGGGCCTAGTGCTGCAGCACAGTCGCTCTTGTCACCGGGCCCACTGTCTCTGCACATCGGCTCACCTGCAGGACAGAGACCGTAGCAGCATGTGAAGGTTGTCCAGACTACACACCTGAGCCATTTATCTCTGTGTCTGCGTGGTCACTGTTATGAGGAAGCAAAAATGACAAGAACATTAACTGGCTATTTACTAGTGCCTGTCGGAAGGAGAGAAAGCCAAATATCGGATCGCATAGGTAGAAGTCCTTTGCTCTTAAGTTAAGATAGAACTTCTGTAACATGGTGTGAATAAAAGTACATTCCTACTGCACTTCTTTTGGATCATGGTCACACGTGGACAGATTTAATTCTGAAAATAGTTGTTTCTATGAGATAAGTTTTACTCTTTGTAAGTTCTTTTACCTTACTACCTTATTTTTTCCCTTCTGAGTTCTGTTTTCTTGTTCACGGAATTAAGGGTTTTAGACTGAGATAAATACCGACATTGAGAATTTCAGGTTACCTGGGCCTGTGCGCTGCAGCTGACATGTGAGAGACCAGCCCTATGGATTTTACACGGCTGCAGGACCAGGATGCGAGTTTTCCTCATCTTCTCCCCCAGTGTGGCCTTTCGGTCATGAGGCTGGTGATTGCTCTGATTCACAGCTTCATAAAGGAATGATAAAGGCTTACAAAGGATTTCGCTTCATAGTAATGATGCCAGGAAGAAGGAAATGGTGACCAAGGACCAGTGGGTAGTCCAAGGTTGGCAGAGTGAGGAAAACAGAGAAGGGGTGAGTGAGGCCCAGAGCAGGTAGCTATTCCTGTGCCAACCGAGTGACCCTCCGAGGAATGGAGGGAGGTCAAAGCAGAGCACTGGGCGCCTGCCGGCCTGCCTTCTGCACGCGCTGAGTGGTGTGACGGGAGCCGCTTGCCTGCAGGCACAGTGCTGGGCGTCTCAGGCTCGTGTGGCTTTGACTGTGGTAAATACCTATGACATAGTATTTATTATCTTAACCATTTCAAGTGTAGTAGGTGAGCTTTTGGTCACAATATTTGTGTCTTTTCCGTTCTTCCAGCTTTAAAATTCCTATTTGTGTAGAGAAAGCCTTCTAATTGACCAGGTAAATGCTGACGCTGAGACCACAGCAGCCATTGCCTCCAAGTGACTAGTTCGTTGGCAACGCCCCGCTCCCCACCTGGCACTGTCTGCCCCACCTGGCACTGTCTGCCGGGTGCTTCTGTTTACTATCCGAGAAGGATTACATGTGAAAATTGCTTGCTTTCAGGCTGGACAACACTGAGTCATCAGAAACTGTAGAAATGGGATTAATGTGTGTTTTTGTTGTTTTCTTTAGTGGTGTAAACACTGTTTTCCCTGCTCTTCCAGCTCCCCATAATTGGTGGCTGTTAGGTGTACGAATAGTATTTTCTTCCACGACTATTTAAGGTGCCCGAGGAGGTGACTGAGGGCTCGCCTGTGGCACTGAGCAGGTTGCTTCATTCTCTGAGCTCCCCTTTCCTTTGTAAATACAAACTAGACTGCCCAGAATGTTCTCCGCCCGATGCCTTGGGGCCCATTAAGAAATGTCAGCTGGAATCAGCCTGCTTTGTTACCTGTTTTGACTCAGACAAATGTGACAGCAGAGAGGAACCTGAAAAGACTTCCTTTGCTTCTTTTTAGAAAGTCAGGCTTTTTCTCCTGTAAAATAATTGTCGTTCTTGGTTCCCAGCTCTGTCTGCTGCCACCTGTGACCTGATGGTCCCTTAGGCGCCTTCCTACCAGCCCCCTCTCAGATGCCCATCAGTGAAAGCCGAGTACCGGCCGCAAGGACAGAGCTGGCTCCGCGGGCATTGACCTGTGCAGTGGCACAGGCTCTTACTAAGGGCGCAGGTCCAGCGCTCTGGTGCGTCTTGAAATTCTGAATGATTTCTAAAATGGGGATAATTTGGCATTAGTCCCTTTGAATTATATAGTCATCCCTGCCTGAGCAGTCCTTTCCAGAAAATATCACTTCCCTATTTGCATTTTTTATTGCTTATCCAGAAACTATATCTGTTATCTATTCGCATTGGGAATAAAATGAGAATTGTACTGTACAAACTCAGGTACCACGTTTTAAAAAGTGCGATGACCAGTCAGATCCTGTCCTTCGGGAGTAGTGATCGTGTTGTTGTGCACACAGGTCTTCTAAAGGGAAGAGCTGACGACCTGAAGCCGGACCCTTACCTCCGCAAGAGCCCCTCCCTGGAGTCGCTGAGCAGACCCCCGGCCCTGGGCTTCGGAAGCACGAGGCTGCTGAGCACGTCCACCGGGGGCTTGAGGCCACACAGCAAACTCAGGTACCACGTTATAAACAGTGAGAAATCAGATAGACAGTGGGCCGATGCCCTTGGGTCTTCCTTCCTTTATGCCTTTTGTTACAGAATTTGCCAGTCAACCAAAAAATACACAGGAGTACCCGGAGATACAGGAAAACCCCATTTATATCCAGATGTACTAGTACCGTGACTCAGGGGAGCCTGTTTCCAAATTTTGAGCAAACCAGTATGGAGGAAGTTTTCTTTTTATACCCTTTGGCTTCTTTGTCCTCCAAATAAGGATCAGACTTCCGGACCTTTCGCGGGCTTTGCAAAAAGCCCCATGTGTTGGGATGGCGCCAGCACTGATAACCCCCTCCGGGGGTTGCGTGTGGTTCATGGTTTATGGCCTCTGTAAAATCTAAGTATTTAGGTAAATAGGTCTTGCAAGACCAGATAATTAGGGAAGGGGCAGTGACTAGATTATAGGCTAACAGGAATGTGCATTAAGGATATTGATTAACTAGGTACAGAGTCAGGCTGCTAGCTCCCCCCTCCCCCCAAAAAAATGTCTTATTTTCCTCATCATTCCCCGCCCCCCTTAAACCTCAAGCTGATTTTCAGCCTTGGGGATTCAATAGAAGACTCAAAGATAGGGAGTAGGGTGTTCAGCAACTTGAGTTTTTTTCATTTTTATTGCCCAAGGGATTGTGATGGCAGTCCAGAGATCTGGTCTGGAGTAACATCCGAGGCTTCAGGGCTTATTGATTCTCTCTATTAGCTGTTCTAAAACCTGTTGGCTTTCTTAGAGGAAGGGAGAGGGAGTCTATACAGGTTTCTTCATTTTCGGCTTCAGAGCAGTTGGAGTGGTGAGAAGCACTCATTCCTCATCACTTATGGTCACTGTACTTCTACACATATTTCCTGGATGAAAACAGTTAAGACCCAGTGCCTGCTTTCAGCAAGGGAGAGGCTCTGCACGATAGATGCAGAGTGACGTGAGGGCTGTGGGGCAAGGAGCTAGCTGGTGCTCGGTGCTGCTGTTGGACCAGGAAGTCGGGGAGAGGAAGCAGTAGTTCTGCCGGCGCCTGCAGGGGTCTGCGCTCTGGCATGAGCCAGGAAGTGGTGTTAGTCAGTGAGACTGGACCTCGGGCTGCAGTGGTTGGGGAGTCTGGCGCGTGTGTGGTAGACTTCCTGCCAGTATGGGCTGGGAGGTGGGTCCTTAGGACGTCACACCAGGAAAGGCTGATGAGAGCCACAGTGCAAATGCCAATGTCAGATGCTGGCACTTGTTTTGGTAAAGCAGTGGGAGCCACCAAGTGTGTGGAGGTCTGGTTTTGATGTGTGTAGTGGTAGTAGGACAGTAAACAGTGGCTGCAAGAAATGGGAGGGGTATTGCTAAGGCTGTTTAGAGGGTGCTTCAGCGGGAGGTGAGGGCTGGAGTGGGTGATGGAGTGGGCAGAGACCGCCGGGTGGGCACAAAAGGCTGTCTTTGCTTTCACAAATCTGCCACCGCCTCCCCTCCGTCATGTCCTGCTTCTCCGCGTGGAGTCAGCCTCTGGAACACTGGGTGCTTCCTGTGCAGCCGTGTCAGACACCTCCGCGTGGGTCCACATTCCACCCGTCTCCGGTTCTCCTCAAGCTAGGCCCCCCCCCCCCCCCATGTGCAGAATGTCCCTGCCCCTCAGTCAGCAAAGCCTGTTCTTCCTCTGCCTTTGCAGCTTGATGCAGGCACTTCTGATGCCGCCAAGGTTCCAGCCGCAGGGTCTGCCTTGTGGCCTTGAACTCCTGAGCACCTCTCCTTCCAGGGCAATCTGTGCATGAGGTTTCACTAACCACCTGGCGGCATCAGCACCCCTTTTCTTTGCCTGAGGCATCTCCCACTTATTTGGGTGTTTAATTCACTGTGCATAGCAGCATGCCTTCGCCCTTATTAGGACTGTAATTTAGTGAATCTTAAATTCTTTGTGTTACATTTTTATGTCATTCTCAACTTCTTGTGTTGTGGTACACCCATAGCATTTCACTCAATAAATAGGTAGATATTAAAAATAGGTAGATAGCTCGGCTGGTATGGATCAATGGTTGAGAGTCGACCTATGAACCAGGAGGTCACAATTCAATTCCTGGTCAGGGCACATGCCCAGGTTTTGGGCTCGATCCCCAGTAGGGGACATGCAGGAGGCAGCCAATCAGTGATTCTCTCTCATCATTGATGTTTCTATTTCTCTCTCCCTCTCCCTTCCTCTCTGAAATCAATAATTTAAAAAAATTATAAAAATCAAACAAACAAAAGAATAGGTAGGTAGATGAGTATACAGAATTGGCTATCTTAGGAGTAATGGCTTTTTTTTTTTAAATATATTTTATTGATTTTTTTACAGAGAGGAAGGGAGAGAGACAGAGAGTTAGAAACATCGATGAGAGAGAAACACCGATCAGCTGCCTCCTGCACATCCCCCACTGGGGATGTGCCTGCAACATGCCCTTGACCGGAATCGAACCTGGGACCTTTCAGTCCGCAGGCCGACGCTCCATCCACTGAGCCAAACCGGCTTCGGTGGAGTAATGGCTTTTTAACAGACATTGCAACTACCATTATTAATATTATAAAAGGATTTTTTGAAAGTCTGAGTAAGTTCAGCTCTTGCCATATCTTTGGGTGTAGTCATTATTTTGGCCCAAATAAATGAAGGCATATCATTCAGAGGTTTAATTTAAAGCTCCAGGTATTAAATGTCAGTCTTGTTTATGTGCCAGAGATTGAAATAATCAAAACAGGTTTTAAGGACCAAAATTAGTGCTATTCTGAAATGGGTCTTTTATACTTTATTTTATTTTTTCCAGTTGCTCTTTTCTTTGTGCTAGAACTGCATACAAAAAGGCTATTTGTGTATTAATATGCTATTTTTACTATACCCTAAATCGTGAAAGCTTAAATTAGTGAAATTAATTAGTTACTTATTTTTATATTCATGTCACTGAGACAAACCAATGGCAGGATACAAATTACCTTGGAAGTTCTCATCCTATTATTAATTTTTTTGCAATCTTATCTAGGTAGCTCTGTTTTTAAAAGAAAACTGTTTGGTAAATGTTTAGTCATCCATTTATACAGAAACTCTTCCCCAAATACTCATTTCAGTCTTCCCTCGTTTGTCAGACCTAGACATTCATCTCTAGGAAATGGAGTAAGCCCAGGCCAGGCACAGCAAACTCAGGCAACATCACCAGAACTTCATAGTTAACAGAAACTTGTGGGTTTGAGTTTACAGATGTGTCAGATAGAAGGAAAGGCAGGCATCACATTATACAAGAAAACTTTAATTCAAGTATAAAGTTTTCCTTAAAACCTCCCTACCTTGATGCAGATTGTCACAGTCTAGAATCATCCCATTACTCCTTTTAAATCATTTAAAATATCTTTATTAAATATTGGATGGATACAAAATAATAAAATATGTGTAAGGTATAAGGAATATCAACCCGATGGAGAGCAACCTGGACACCGCCTTCCAGGCTAAGGAAAAGGAAATGAACACTTTTGAACTTCCCGTCAGCCCTGCCATGTGCAGCACCTCCTGCCCCTTCCTCGCCCTCCTCCGAGGTCACCACCATTCTGAACTTTGTGTGTGTTTCTTTACAGTTTCTCCATGTATTTTGTGTACCCAGACAATACAAATAGTATATCAATTAAATTGCATATTTAAAATTTATTTATTTAATCCTCACCTGAGGGTATTTATATTATTGATTTTTAGAAAAAGAGGACGAGAGAGAGAGAGAGAGAGAGAGAGAGACCAATGTTGAGAGAAACCAATGTGAGAGTTTTGCCTCCCATACTAGCCCCAAGCGGGCATCAAATCCAAAATCTAGGTATGTACCCTGACCAGGAATCAAACCCATACCCTTTTGGTGTCTGGGATGATGTTCCAACCAACTGAGCCACATGGCCAGGGCATATTTGCAACTTTGGAAATATAAAAACATTGTTGGAGTTTCTTAATTCAAAATGTTCCTGCTATTCATTCAAGTTATTACATACATCTGTAATTCATTGGTTTTTTTATTGCTATATAGTATTCTATTATGTAAATATCCACAGTTTATCCATTTTCCTGATGATGTACATTGGTTTTTTCCAGTGTTTGCTATTATAAGAAGTGCTGCTGTTGTTACCAGAGATTGGACTTCAGTTCAGGAACCTCGGTACTTGAGTTCTGGCTAAGAAAGAATTCAGAGCCAAGACTCAAACTGTAAGAGGAAGTTTATTTAGACAATCACAGAGGCAGAATAAGTGAGCTGTAGAAGGGGCAGGAAACAAGTTACAGAGGCAAACGAAGGGCCCTTGGAGCTCAAGGAGGAGAGAGGCAAGGAAACCAGTGGGGAAAGGCAGGGTGTGCTCCCTAGAGAGGGCCTTGCTGGTCCTCCATCCTAAGGGCTTTCAGGGGAAGTCCCAGGGGAGGATCTCAATAAATATTTGTCACCTTTCCAGGTGTGCTCTTTCAGGGTCATGGTCTCCACTGATGGGTTGGCACCAGGGCAGGGGGTCATTTGTCATTGTAGCTGGTCCTAAGGTCAGTTGCTTGTCTGGTTTTTGCTGCTTTTCTGGGCCTGGAGCAGAAACACAACTGATGTTATCCCTAGAGGTTAACGCTTAAGGGATTGGTCATGCAAGGGCCCACACGGAGTTGCATGAAGCCACTTTTTGGCCTCTTGTTCCTCCTCCAAGGGGGTCTACGCATGATTAGTGACATGCCACGGGAGGAACGGTCAGGGGAGGGTCCGAGCTGCATGACCAGGGATATGCTGGGGAGGAAAGTCACTTGGGGGCGAGGTCCTTGTTTTCCCAGTTTTGCCTTTGCTAGGCACGGGGGCCTTGCTGCCCTGGAGACCTTCTGTACCTGGCCCATCGTCCTTGCTCTCCTCGTGCCTGTCTAACTGCCCACCACACTGCTGTGAACATCTTGTGCCGTGATGATGCACACGCCAAGGGCTAAATCCTGCTGCTCTCACGTTGTCGCTGCTACAGTTGACACTTCAGAGATGCCCTGCCCTCCATCCCTGCTCTCCTACACGCGGTGCCGGGAAATCGCGGGCAGTTCCAGTGGGATGGGAATATAATCCCCCTTCCCTGGCTTCCTCATGGAAGAAACCGTGTGACCTTAAGTCCCTTTTAGTATTTGGGAATTTTAGGTAGCATAAAATTACCGTAGATGTTTATAGAAAAATCGAGGATGGGCACTTGAGCCCTTGCTCCTGGAAAATCACTTCCTGTGTCTAAATGGGGGCTCGGAGTTGAGTGACTGCACCAAGAACGGAGGAGCAGGAGTGTCACCTGTGGAGTTTGAAAGCCCCCTTTTGAGTAATTGTTACAGACTTTGCCTTCATCTCCATTCCCAGCATCTCCCCCACAAGCAGCCAATCCAGTGTTTTTAAATGCCCTTCTAACCTACCTTTTAGATGACATGCAGATGTAAGTGGGGCCCTACCCCATGAGTTTTTCTATAGGTATCTTTAATTAAAATGATACTGTACTTAAGTAAATAAATAAAAGGCTAGATGGCTAGAGCAGCAGATGAACTTAAAATTTGTTTAAAAACCTATTTATAGACTTCTAATAGTCAAGAAAGACAATCTAATTTTTCTTTCATACCCTGAGACATAAAAATGTATTACTAATGTGACTGATTTGGTTGTTTTTCTTTGGAGTTTACTGGAATGACCTAGACTCCTGCCTTTCTAATATGATTACTTATTTCTTACATCGTTGAGGGCTCTAAAAATCAACACCTTCTCTTTACTGTGCGCTCCTCTCTCTAACCAGTGTGGAAAGAAGAGACCCTCTGGCTGCGCTGGCCCGGGAGTACGGCGGCTCGAAGCGCAATGCTCTGCTGAAATGGTGCCAGAAGAAGACAGAAGGCTACGCGGTAAGGGGTGCCCACCTGCTTCCCAGCAGCCCTGGCACTAGCCGTCCAAGCCAGTGTGTGTTCTGTGTGTTCCTGTGCTTGTCTAGGCCAGTGTGCGTGGTGGTGCCATCCGTCAGGGCTGCCAGTGTTGCTGTTGTGCACGGCCCAGAGGTTTCCAGACGGAGGCCGGTGGGGTGGGAGCCAATCTGCACTCCAGCCACCTTGCCGCGTCCTGAAGTGCAGAACTGCGTGTCCTGTGGAAGGGCTCCTCCTCTTTGCTCAGAGGAGAGGTAACCTCCCCAGCAGCACCCAGCAGGCCGCTTCCACCTAAGGCACAGCTTTCGCGGAATCATCTTCCCAAAAGGGACCCTTTTCCTAATTCCCATCGAGGTCCCACCTAGCTGAGCCCTCAGCATTTCTCTGCTACTTGAAGAGTTGTTTGCATTTAGTTTAGGAATTTCAGTTTACCAGGACAGTGTTTTCTGTGAAAGTTAGAGAAGGAAGTAATATTGGATGTAATGTAAGCTTTTTCATCAGGAACCTTCATACACAAAGATAAAGTGCATCAGCACAGTTTCATGAACAGCCTCACTCACATGCAGAAATCCAGCACCGCCCGTCCCCAGCCCCTCCCGACGCCGGCCATAGCTGTCCCCTGGTTGTCTCCCTCGGAGCTTCTACAAAAGTGCGCACCCCTATGTGCTAATTTAGTTTTTCCTGCATTTGAACTTTATAAAGTGAAATTTTAAACTGTAATATTGCACCTGCCATTTTGGGAGGATTTTGTATTTTAATGATCAGATGATCAAAATGAGATTTCTGCTCCACCATTGGTGGGGGTGTGCATGAATGCCGCCTTTGGGGAGGGAAATATGTGTCAGGAATCTCAAAAATGAGTATGCCCTTTAGCTCAGGAATTGTGTTTCAAGAAAGTAACTGTGAATGCCTATGAAGATAGAATTTTGAACAAGTTGATTATAGTTTTATTTATTTAAAGTTATTTTTAAAGAACTGGAAATAATACAGATTTCTAAGAATAAGGGAATCAAGCTTAAAAATCTCGCTTTGTGCAAATACATTTAAAGGAACTAGAAAAAAGTGTGCCCATTATATTGAGTCAATAGTTAGATTCTAAAGCAATATATTATGCTTCCAATTCGGTAAAAATAATTTATCCAAATGTTATATTAACATTAACAGCGGTTATCACTGGATGAGTACTTAAATTTTATTCATGCTTTCCTGTGAATTTTTCATTTTCTGCAATGAACATGTAAGTTTTTAACAGAAAGAAATATTTTTTAATATATTTTATTGATTTTTTACAGAGAGGAAGGGAGAGGGATAGAGAGTTAGAAACATCGATGAGAGAGAAACATCGATCAGCTGCCTCCTGCACACTCCCTACTGGGGATATGCCCGCAACCAAGGTACATGCCCTTGACCGGAACCGAACCTGGGACCCTTGTGTCTGCAGGCTGACGCTCTATCCACTGAGCCAAACCAGTTAGGGCAGAAAGAAATATTTTAATTGCAACTTTTTAAAGGAAAGAAGCCAGATATAAAAGGCTACATATTATATGGTTTCCTTTATATGAAATGTCCAGTGTGGGCAAAGTAGATTAGAGGCTGAGGGAGGGAGGCCAGGAAGTGACTGGGCACAGGGTTTCTTTAGGGGTGATATAAATGTTCTGGAATTAGTGATGTTGGTTGTATGACCTGTGACTGTACTAAACGCTACTGAATTGTACATTTTAAAAGGGTAAACTCACCTGGCTGGCATGGCTATGAACCAGGAGGTCACGGTTTGATTCCCGGTCATGACACATGCCCGGGTTGTAGGCTCAATCCCCAGTGTGGGGCGTGCAGGAGTCAGCCAATCAATGATTCTCTCTCATCGTTGTTGTTTCTATCTCTCTCCCTCTCCTTTCCTCTGTGAAAACCAATAAAAATATATTTTTAAAAAATGATTTAAAAATATATAAATAATAGGGTAAACTTTATGCTATGTGAAATATCTTAATAAACCTGTTATTAATTTTTTTATAGGGCAATTAAAAGAGCTTGTGTAGGGGGATCTGAGAGATGGATAAGGGTAGAGGGGGTGGAAACTGCTATTTAAATTATAAATCTCATCAAACTGTAACTTTAGACGTACCTGTGTATTACTTTGTATAATAAAAAAGAATTGAAGTAAAACAAAATGAGAGAGATGCAGGTATTATATGTTGGTTTTTATTTGGTAGGTGGGATCCATAGGTATTCACTTCATTGTTATGATTCAGAGCCCAAATATATTCTTTGTATCAAATGTTATATAATGACATATAATTTGGGGGCAAAAGTCTGAAGGAAATGGCCATAAAAGTGTATTATAATCAACTAGAAGCCCGATGCATGAAATTTTGTGCACTGGGGGGCGGGGGTGGGGCCCTCAGCCCGGCCTGCACCCCTCAGCCAGGACCCCTCAGGGATGTCCAACTGCCAGGACCCCTCACTCCTTACCACCCACTTGCAGTGGAGGCAGGAGAGGCTCCCGGAACTGCCGCTGGGCTCACCAGCCGTGAGCCCAGCTTCTGGCTGAGCAGCGCTCCCCATGTGGGAGCGCACTGACCACCAGGGGGCAGCTCCTGCGTTGAGCATCTGCCCCCTAGTGGTCAGTGTGCATCATAGTGTGACCGGTCGTTCTGCAGTTCGGTCGAGGCAGTGCTAAGGATGTCTGACTGCCAGCTTAGGCCCGCCTAAGCCATCAGTTGGACATCCTCTGAGGGCTCCTGGACTATGAGAGGGCACAGGCTGGGCTTAGGGGGACCCCCCCCCCCCCCGCCAGTGCACGAATTTCGTGCACCGGGCCTCTAGTACAGGATAATTAAACCAGATCTTTCAGAGGAAACTTTGAAAGTGGAAGAGCAAGGCACCTTAAGGCATCACAGTGTGCAGAACGGGCTTGGGAGCCTGCAGGGTAGGCCTGTCCACCTCTCTGCCGGCCACTTCACAGCCATGTGGCAAGTCAATTTTTATAACAGCATCTTTTTAATTAAAATATAAACATAAATGACTGATAAAACTTTTTCAGAAAAAGTGACACTTTCCCAAATAATGTCCTTACCCTGATTTGCATATACTGTAACTCAGAATTTTTTCACTTTGGCCTGGCCCATCTTTTTAAAGCCTGTAAAAATGAACGTTTTATATCTTTGGAGCTCTGCCATTTGAGGTAATGAAATAGAGGAATGTGGGTGTGGTTCTGGTACACTGGATTTAAGTCCTGCAACCACACATTTCATAAATGAGCTTGATTGGAGCACAGTCACCTGGTCGCTCACTCATTGCCTGTAGCTGCTGTTATATTGCAACTGTACGGGAGTGTAAAACTATAACCTTTAAAACCAAAACGCTCCTCTACCTGGGCCTGTACAGAAGTTGGCTGGCCCCTCCCTTAGATAAATATGTACACAGTATCTCCTGTTTTTCACATCACATTTGGTCCTTGCATCTCCGATTGTAAGAAGCAAGTGTTCAGATAGCAAGAGACTTAAAAATTTATCTAAATCCGTTCGGTTTCTGTTGCAAGAAATGGTCTAGGAGGGGATAGCACTCACAAAGGCATAAGTAAGTTATCTTTGAACCTGCTTTTAGCCAATTAGCTAGGAGCTACATATTCTTCCCTGTTAGAGAAAAAAGCAGCCTTTGTATTCTTCAAAGCAAATCTTATTTTGCATCTGGAAAGAGCACCCATGTAGCTGGCCAAGTTCTGTTTTTCTGTCTCCGAGTTCCCACAGGCGAGCACTCGCACATGCGCGTCCAATGGCAAGCGGCCTGCGCAGTGCAGGCCATTTGGGGCTCTAGTTGTTTTCTTTCTGGAGACAGGCCCCTTGAGAGCTACATGCACAATTCAAAGAATGTAAAATGCTTGGTTTAATTTATTGTCATGAAAGTGGTTCTCTTTCTGACCTCATCATAAAGAGAGATTCTCAGTAGCGTGAATGTCATTATTGGCCTCACTCTGCTGAGGCCCTTTTTCACCCACTGTCTCAGCTTCTGCAGCTGCTTATGACACACAGTGATTTGTGTAGACATTTTATTTTTTTAAATATTTTTATTGATTTCAGAGAGGAAGGGAGCGGGAGAGAGAGATAGAAACATCAATGATGAGAGAGAATCATTGATTGGCTTCCTCCTGCAGGCCCCACACTGGGGATCCCGCCCACAACCCGGGCTTGTGCCCTGACCAGGAATCAAACCGTGACCTCCTGGTTCATAAGTCAACGCTCAACCACTGAGCCACGCCGGCCGGGCTGTGTAGACATTTTAAATGGCACTAGGTATTGTCGTATGTCCTAAGGCAAGTAGAGTTTATTTAGAAAGTGAAGATGAAAGGCTTTATTTCGAAAGCTGTGGTGGACGTACAATCAGCTCTTGGCAATCCATAAATCCACTCAGCTGTATCTCCGAGCCCCATGCTTATGAGCCCCTTTCCCATTCTCCGTTGTATGTGCGTGTATGAAGCTGTGAGGAATAATAAAGGGTGTGGAAATACCAGTGAAGTTGTTACACAGCAGACGGGGTGGGATTCTCCCACCTTCCTCTGTGGTACATGGACAGAGGAGCAGCTCTCACGGGCGTGCACAGCCTGAGCTGACCAGTCCGCCTCTTCCCAAGAGTTTGGAAGGAGAACTGGGAGCATGTGAGACTCAAAGACTAACACAGGCCAAATAAACAAGGTTTAAGTTTATGGGCCGCAAAAAACCAAAAGCTTCAATTTTCATAGAAATGTAGGTTTATTTCAATAGAGGCCTGCTGAATACAAAGGGCTGAAATAAATGAGTCATCATTAACATAAAATAATAGAACATTTTAATAAAAATTAATATTTTTTTTGAACATTAACTTACCAGACACTGAATAACTGCACAAATTAATAAGCGTAACGCAAATAAACCTATTTTTCTTGTTCTCCGAAAATGAAATATTTCCTGTTGCGCACACCAAACAAGTCAGTCCATGACTAATGACGTGGC